TCCACCTTGGTGAAACTGGACCGGACCAGTCCATGAAGCTTCCCAAAACCTCTCCTGGCAGCTACAGAACTGGGTGGGCCGACTAACCTCATTCTAGAGGCGAGAGCGAAGGATTTATCAGCAAGGTACGACCCTGGCGTGAAAGATTTGGCGATGATATGTATTTCTCACGTAATAGTTGTCCACCTATCACTCTCGTACCTCACGTAGGGTGGTCCGATCCATTTGCTCCAACAACAGCGGCATGTAGCATAGTGTAGATATGATCTTGGGGGGGGGGGGTTCTCCACTACATAGAAGAAGCCCAAAAATATATGAAAAAAAGTTTGACAATAAAAAGCAGTTTGTGAATTGAAAAAATGTTGCAAAATTTGAAAAACGATTTGTTTATCAAAATTGGCTGACGAAATCAAAAATATGTTCACAAATTTGAATACGCATTTGTGGATTTGAAAAATGTTTGCATTTTTTTGACATTTCAAACATTTGGAAAATGTTTGCGAATTTTAAGCATATTCAAGAGCTTGTAAAACTCATGGATTGAAAAAATGTTTACCAATTTAGAATTTTTTATGGATTTTCAAAAATGTTTGTCATTTTAAAAATGTTCATGAATTCTAAAAGTGTTTCGGAACTTGAAAATGTGAAAGAATTTAAATATGTTTATATATTCGAGTAATGTTCATGGATTTGAAAAATAATTCATGGATTTTAAAAAAGTTCATGAATTCAAAAATTGTTTATGAATTTGAAAACTATTCGTGAATTTTAAAATTGTTCATGGCTTCAAAAATGTTTCGTGGATTCTAAAAAAGTTGATGTGTACAAAATAATTTTGTGAATTTAATTATTTTTTGTGGATTTATAAAATGTTAGGGGATCTAAACAATGTCCCTGATTAAAAAAAATCATGTATTTGGAAAATGTTCATGGATTTCGAAAAGTGTTGAAAAATTAAAAAATATTGATGAATTTTAAAATTTTGAAAAATTTGGAAAGTACTTCACAAATTTAGAAAGTGAAAAATAAGAATAAAAAGGAAGAAGGAAAAACAAAGAAAAGGATTAAAATATGGAAAAACTAACGCCACACGTGTGGGCATTTGCAGATCGCCCACACGCCTCCATCACCACTCATTTTGCGATGTATGAATAGATGACATCAGCAGAAATATTTTTGGTTTTCGGTTTAAAAATGTTTTATCTCCTGAATAAAAAAGCGAACTAAAAATCCATTTTCACCATTAAATCCGTCTCGACGAGATCTTCAAAACTAGACCCCATGTTGATATGTTTCGATGGTTTTTTTTTGCCCAGAAGTTGCCATGATGTTTACACTATAGTTGCCATACTGCTTAAGCTAAAGTTTCCATGTGGCAATTTTAGTTTGTAGATCATGGCAATGTTAGTTTTTTGATGATGGCAATTCCAGTACTTTGACCATGAAAATATTTTTTTATTGAACCAAGGCAATATTAAGTGCATGTATCATGGCAATTTTAGTTTATGGTGCATGGCAAGTCTAGTTTCTTAATTCTTCATTTTATAATATGTTAAAATTTACTTTTTAATGTAAAAGAAAATAGTTGAAACATATCATGGCAACTTATGTGTAAATATCATGGCAATTCATGTGCAATAGACATGGCAAATTTTAACAAAAAAAATTCACCGAAATATTTTTAAAAAAATTGGCCAAAATATCTAGTTTTGAAGATCTCGTCGCGAGGGATTTAATGGTGAAAACAGATCTTCAATTGGAATTTTCATTTAAGAGATAAAACATTTTAAAAACTGAAAATCCAAAAAGATTCTCGCATGCATGCATGCATGCGATGACGTGGCAATCTATTTGCATTAGAGACGTGTGGTGCGTCTCCTTTCCTGCCACACGTGTGGCAGTTATCGACGTCCTTATAATATAATGACAAAAGAAGAAAAATAAAACCCGTAAAATTTTTGGAAGACCTGCAAATAAAAATGGAGAAAGCTAAAGAAGAAAAACCTGATGGATGGTTCTAGATCCTTCTCAAAAACCGGACAGAAAGTTCTCAAAACTTCCCACAAAAGCTTAACGCTTGTTTGTGAAACTCTGTATAATGGGCCGGCCCTGACGTTCGCTCGCTGTAGGCGATCCTCCCTTAATGCTCGCATAGAGCGATACATATGAGTTGCGTGAATGAATGGGCTTGCCTATCTAGTAGCAGCATTGACATTCGGCCGGGCCATGGGTTGAGTGGCTTAGACGTCCAGGCAAGATCTCAACTCATTAGCAGCCCATGATAAAAAGAAGCGACCTATCTGGAAATGGCTGAACGGGAACCCGCAAATCTAGTTCCTGGCAGAGAAAAAAAAAGATCCACCGAATAGGTATTGATCCAAATACCTCGAGATGGATTGTGATACATATTCATTAATAATATTTATTCATCTAAGTGGATAAATCTATAATATAAATATAGAGACACTTCTTTTTCTTTCTAAAGAAATAGGCCAAACCGAACAATCTAATGTCGCACTCCCCCTCTCTCCCTAAATATGGTTACACTATTACAAGTGAGTGAGTATAATTTGGAAAAAAGAATGATAAATTAATCAACACTAAGTACAGTAGAGCATAATTGATCAGTGTACTAGGAGGCGGTAGCTGTTAGATTGTATTTTTTTTTCGAGTCTAGCTATTACTGCATTGCTCGCAGCTATTAGCTAGGTGGCACCATGAATTAACAAATTAATCAAGCTGCAATTGTTAATGGTGGCGCAGTCGGTTTAGTAGTGATTGGAATGCTGTTGGGAAGCATTTTCTTTTTCTTGAGGATTAGAGTAGGAGAGACCTACTCAAAAAAGGGCAATACAGTCAGAAATCATAAGAGGGCGGAGGGTAGCAGGGACATCTCCTCGGCTCCAATGCACCTGATCGCCGCAGCCAGCCCGTGAGCAAGGGTGTTGCATGTACCGCAGCCGTCACTGTATGACGCGTATGACGCGAAGACTGAGATAGGCCGTTTCTAATATCAGTAATCAGGCCATAGTATGGGGATCTGGTTCTATCCGCAGCCGTCAGTTCCTTCACAATCACCAGACAGTCCATCTCCAGAATCACGGCTAATAATAGCTGTACGAGATTTGGCCTCCTCCACACCATCATATGATCCAACCATCATATACAACCATAACAACTGCAAACAAGCAAGAAGCCAACATCAACACATCCACAGTGGTGAACACTCTCGGCCGAGAAAAAAAGACCACCGGAAAAAAGGTAAAACTGAAAACTGAACCTAAGCTAGGTAGCAACGGCGGTGACTTCTTGGCTTGGCTTGGCTTGACGATGCCGTCCAACCTGATTAATCACAATAAACTTGATCGCACCATGTGCTTATGACGTGATCTTACACTACAACAGTGAACAACTAGCAGAGCCAGAAGACACTTAACCCTGTACAAACAAACGCAGGAAGGCGTAACTACAGAGGCCATAAATGTTCAGAGTTCTTTGTCAAGAGTGTTTGAGTTCTGTTGCCTATTCATCAGAGTAAAAAACGGGTGTATACAAGAAAGTGAACATATTCTGCTACACAGAACCATGAGCAAGTGCGACCTTTTTTGACAAAGGGAATATATTAAATCGCGAAGATACCAGCAAGTGCGACCTGGGAACTGTTTGTTTATAATTTGGGTTTATTGCCTAGGAAGGTGCAGTTTAAAAGTAATAGCAGATCCGGTACACAATCACGCACCTGGGTTTTATATACCTTATCAAGATTTCCCCACTTTCCCTGAAATACAGCACAAAAGTGAAACTAAGCATGTAGTGGAAAAATGGGTACCAAATAAAGCAGTGCATTGAAATTTTCTCATCTATCAGCTCTTGTTCTTGTATGCGCTCTGTTCCTTGTCTTCATCCCCTGCCCCACCGACTAAACAAATGAATCAACATGATGAGAAAATTTATATATATAGCATATGCTACTACTTGAACAAATTCAAATGTAGGAGCATTTGGCCCAGTTTACCTCCAGCTTCGGACAACCCTGACACCGTCCTTGTCTGCTAGAGTTGCTCTAACTGGTGCACCCAGCCCCTCCCTGACACCTTCACCATCTGAAGTGTCATGAGCACCGTAGATATACCGTCATCTCGATTCTTCTAGTCTTCTCTAAGTAGTAATAAGCGACATCAAACACATTAATTAGAATGGCATATCTAGAACACGCTCAGAGGTAACAGGTGCTACAATTGGATGATGCCCAAACCCCTGACATGTAGTATAAAAGTACAAGACTCAACTCACAGGCATTATCGTTACGGATTCTTCAGGTTGCAGCAAAGCAATTGAAAGAATATAAATCACATAACACTCTGTCTCCATGCAGTTAGATCATTAAATTGTTTTCTCAGTACAACTAGGGTGGGCTTATAAAGCCAATTACAACTTGAATTAAAAGAAAACAACTCTTAACTGAATTCGGAAAAAGCAGGAAAACCTTCTTCGGGACGAACCTTTCCATATCCAAATTCTTACTCTAAACTAATATTCTTACAGTACATATCTCATATGGGCTGGTTGCCTGGTGCAAGCTGAACTCTCGGTGTGGCTGGATTGGACCTCCCCCGTCACCTTCCACCTGCTCACATAAGATTAAAAGTACATGCATGAGAGACATGACCGACACTTCATGCAGAGTTTTAAGTCGTATCAAGGTTTCCGGTTGTCAAAGTATACACTACTATAAAGCTGCTAGCTTGATTGTCCAGATCATGCAGTGTTATTGACTCCTAGTTGCCAGTCAGTTAATAGGTGATGTTTTGCTTCGACATATTGCTAATAGATGCAAGTATCCATCGACTTAGTTTCTTTCCAACTAGTTTAATGTAGCACCAAAGGATATAATGGCTCCCACTGACACAAATTAATCAGCATCATAGAAGAAGAAGGAACTAAGAAGGGAACTGCAACTTTAAGAACTGTTAATATCAGGGAAACAATATATACCGAAATCATTCAGTGCAGAGGGTCATCTGCACTTTCTTCTTTCCTCGATCTGCTGTTAATCGTTGGTGTGCTTCTTGTTCCTTGTTTCCATCTCCTGAACCAGATGCAATTGCTGATGCTTCCTGTTCCTCCTCTGCAGCCTTTGTGTGGACTAACCAAGCAGAGAAAATTAAGATGGAATCAATAGGCTTGGGTGGACCATATAAAACAAAGCATAGATTCCAACATGTACAATACGGGTTGAGTTATTTTACCCCCAGATTCGATCAAGTGCTGGGTGAGTGCATCCCTAACCCTAGCGGCATCCTCATCTGCTACCTCTCGCACCCGCTCGATGCAATTTTCCTCCTGATCACTTGGCATGCCTGCACCCTCCTCCATGTCTATCACTATGTTATGCAACAGACAACACGTGGTGATTGTCAAGCACATTTCATCTTCATTACTTGGATGCCAGCCTTCTCCCTGCAAGCACTTCCATGTGTCTTTAAAACTTGCCAACGCCCTCTGCGCGACCGCTGTAGCTGCAGAGTGTCTCCTGTTAAACTCCACTTTGGAGTCTGAGAGTGGGCAGTCGTTCTCTAGCAGGTAAGGTGTGAGGAGCCAGGGTCGAAGAGGATATCCCGCATCACCAACGATATACTCCCCGACTTCTAATCCACCATGAGATGATACCTTCAGCTTGCTACCATTCAGCTCAGTACCCCCCTCGCAGGTCTTGAAGAGACCGGAGTCCTGCAAAATGATCAACTGGTTCATGCTACCTGAGAGGTTCCACCAAATGTTTGTGAGCCTCATATCTGGATCAACACTGGCTTGCAGTAGGATGTCACCATTCTCCTCATGGTCACGGTCTTGTGATCCAAACGTGATTTGAGCTGCATGTACAACACCGCAGCAGTTTGGCAAGCCATGAATCTTGTCAAACCTGTGTTTGATCTTCTCCATTTTAGCAGAGCCTGGCCAGGCCAAGTGGTGCATTGCTCGCTGGGACATAGCCTCAACAAACACCTGAGTTACCAGAGAGACAGTTGACTCATTCACACCAAGAAAGGATCCTACAGTCTCAGATGGCTCACCAGAGTTCAGCATTCCCAGAGCGATGCTCACTCCATCTTGTAAAGACAGCATTTTACCATCAGCAAAGGTGTGACCTTTTGACATCATATCTTCAAAAAATGGGATCTTCACCAAGCCGCAGACGTAACTGAAGGTACTTCTTTTCATTTTGTACGCAGACTCAAATCCTTGTGCGTCCACCATACGAGATGACAAGGTTTCTGCATGGAAAGAAAAACACAGACCATGTTATACACAATCTCTAATTAGCAAGGCAAGAGCAAACATATATTACTCTCAGTGGAGGTCCCAGGATTTGGGCGTGACCAGGGCTGAACCGTAGTAGCGAAAAAACTACGATGAATTATGACCCCCCCCCCCACCCCCCCACCCCAAATAACACCACCACAAATGCTGATGAAATTAATATGACATGAG